TTGTACCTTTCAATAGAGCCATCAGCATTATGCTTCACAGTGAATACCCATCTACATCCAACCGGTTTCTTTCCTTTTGGTAGGTCAACCAGTGCCCAAGTATTATTCTTCAACAGGGCATCCATTTCGACTTGCATTGCATCTTTCCATTCTGGAACTGATAAGGCTTCTTGCACTGTTCTTGGAATAGGGGCATTGGCAATGGAAGTGAGATAGGACCGGTAAGCAGGAGATAGGCGATCATAGGATAAGAACTGTGAGATGTTGTGAGTTGTAGATGTGGTGCAATGTCGTTTCCCTTTGCGGACGGCAATAGGAGATCAAGGTCATCCACAGAAGGGGAAGTGGCAACAGTGGRAGGTGTCTCAGTAGGCTCTGGATCTGGAGCCGCAGAAGGAACTGGAACTGGCCAGGTCTGCCGATGACTAGGATCAACCTGCCTGCATCGCCTGTGATAGACTCTCAACTCCTAATAGAAAATGTAAATGGTTGTAATAGATCAACCAATAATCTATTACACAAACAAAAACTAATATTTAATTTCATGTTTGATATGAATTTTGAGCTAGCTCAAATTGGTAATCATGTAAGTTAGGTGGGCAATAACATTGTTACTCCATATATCTACAATATTGTCACCAACTTATGTTATAATACTATATCTTGTACTCCGCATAGTGTTGTGTAATGTTCATTAGGGAATATGTCAATTCCAATAAACTTTCATGTTGCTACCCATGGAAGTGGAAATGGAATACTATCTCTTCTACTCCACATAGTGTTGGTAGTGTTCATTGGGTAATATGTCAATTCTTGTAAAATTTATCATCGCTACCTATGGACTGTTACGACCTTCTCTGTTTTCTGCAACCTAAACAGTGGATTCTTGGTCACCTCCTTCTCTCCCCTCTTCCTTTCTTTATTCTTTCTTTCATTGCCTTCCATTCTCCGTCTTTTCAAACCTGACCTGAACTATTACAACCAGTGTTTTAAAAGGCATGGGAGGCGTACGCCTCTAGGCGAGACGCTCCCAAAACGCCTTGAGGCATATGCTAGAGGCGCTGACACGTCTGAGGCGTACGCCTCATGCACACCTAATATAAAAAGACAGAAAAAAAAAGGAAAAAGAAATAAGGGAAAGGAAAAGAAAGGGAAGGGAAAGAAAAAGAAAGAAGAAAAAATGAGAAAAGGAAAGAAAAGGAAAGGAAAGGGAAGGGAAGAAAAGATAAGGGGAAAGAAAGTGGTTTGCCCCTACCTCATGCACGTCGAAAAGACCCCCCTTTCAACTAATGTTATGCATCTTTATTCTTAATATAAAAGATTTTTATTAAAAATAAAGAAAAAATGAGATCCCCCCTTCCTCTTCATCCTCCTCCTAACCTCCCTCCTCTTAAGGAGGCTTACGCCTCCTTGTGTTTGGGAGGCTTACACTTCTTGCGTTGTGAACTATTCCTCACGCCTCTAGGTAGTGGAACGTCTCGTGTCACGCCGTCGCGTTTTAAAACATTGGTTACAACCTGCTAACCAATGGCCCTTGTTTGCATTTTGATCCTCAGCAATGAGTTGAGCCCATCCACTAAACACCAAAACTTCATCACTAGCATTGAGCAATCCACACACACTCCATTCAGGCAGTGTTTTAAAAGCACAAGGCGCAAAAAAGGCTTAGGGGTCAATTTGTGGCCAAGGTGCAAGGCGAGGCGCGCACCTTTTTGAAGCAAGGCACAAAATTAAAAAAAAAAAACTACTAAAAAAAAAGTCATAAAATTCAAAAGAAATGCTAAAAATTCAAAATAATGCAAAAAAATAAAAAAAAATATTAAACATAAGATAAATAAAAAATATAAACTTAAATTTTAAATAAATGTTTTAAAAAAGTAAAAACCTATTATCTAAAATTAAAGTACATAAATGTAGCATGTAAAGCATATTCAAATGAGAATTTAAAAAGGCAATGATTTGAGTTCGCTTAGCTAGGCTAAAATACTACTAGATTTGAATTTGAGCTTGAGTTTGATTTGAACTATATTTTCTATTTCGAGCTTGATTCAAGTAAATATTCAATGAGCTCGAGTTCGGCTAGAAAACTCGAAAATAAATATATTTGTATATTTTATATGTGTGATATTTTTTATAATATATAATATATATTTTTATGTATGTATGTGTTAATCGAGCCAAGCTCACGAGCATTCGAGCCAAACTTTTTATTGGTCGAGCTCGAGCTTGAATAACTATTTGAGCTTACCCCAAGGTTGGAACTGGCTTGAACTCAATTAGAATCGAACTCAAATCGAGCCTAATCGAATTCGAGCCCGAACTGTTAGAGCTTGATTCAATTGCAGCCCTAATTGGGATGTTTTACTTTGACCAACTATTGACAGTCCAGAAATACAACATTAACCTCCCTTGAAATTAAAATGTTTAAGGTGCTGACAAGAAACATGGACCTAAGATTACAATGGGTGGGGAGATCAGCAAATGCTATGGCGAACTGTCCAGCCAAGGAAGGGGCAGCTAGGGAAGTTTTGTATTGGGCACAACTGTACCTTATTGCTTTTGTTTTCTTCTGTAGTGGAGAGATCGCAGCTCGCGCCTCTCCAAGGGCTACTTGTATGTGCTAATATTTCCAAATTAATAAAATGTTCATGTATTTATCAAAAAAAAAACATTAACCTCCTTTGACAAAAGCCTATCTGTTGTCTGGTTGATCTGATATTTGGAGGGCCTGCTATATGCTTCTTAAGCTTCAATATATCCAAATTAACCTCCCTTTTTTCTATCAAAAAACATACAAAAAAAGAATCAGCTCAGTCAACAGTTTGATCAAGAGAAATTGAGTCTACAACTACTGCCCAGAAGTTGGACTGTTGCTATGAACAGTCTTCTCCTCCATCTTTATCTTAGCCTTCTGAGGTTTGGTCAAGAGAGCTATCTATAATTTGTGTATAGCTTTTCATATCTACTGAGAGCTTTTGTTTGCTTAGATTAGGACCTTGTGAGAGATCTTTTCTCCCTGTTGTTTCTCTTAAAGAAATTAAGGCTTACGTGCATCATAGAGGGAGTTGAATTTTCCAATTTTATGAGCATGTGGAACTAATAAATAAACATATAAATAACACTTTTGATTTTTTTAGGTTCTTAAAGTTTCTTGTGTGCATCTTGTAATTTCTCCTTAGCTTAGGGATTAATATCTTTATGGATAGATTTTTCCCTGTTTTTTAAATAGCTTTTTTTGGTCAAAGTTCAATATATTTCATTAGGATAAAAAGAATATTAGAATTTGATATATATTTATTTTGATGGATCAAAGTTTGAGATATTTATGTTTCATGTGTTTGTATCTGATCTCATTTAATCAAATGGGCGTTCCATGTTGTAGGTTTCTCAAATATATATTTGTATGACTTATTCTGTCGTTACTTCCAGGTGAGGAAGGGTCACTCCAAGATCTTTCAAGAGGATATTATTGATGTGTTGGATAAACAATTGCTTGAGGGTATGGGTGTATTACTTACAGAGGAAGAACAGCAGAAATGTGAAGAGAGTGTATGTACCTATTTTTATAGAAATTGTTATTAAGTGGTCCGTCTTAAAATGATAGCCGTTATCTGGTGTTTCTTTTAATTATTGGGGCTCTATGCTTATAAAATAGGTATCATTTGAAAAGAAGAGATTGCTAGCTGTACATGAAGCTGGTCATATATTATTAGCTCACTTGTTTCCTCGATTTGATTGGCATGCATTCTCCCAATTGCTACCTGGTGGCAAGGTACAAATTTGGAATATGGTTGGATATTAAGCTTATTGCTATTGAATTATCTTCTCGGAGATGTTTGTTGATGTATCAATTTTGAACTTGATTAGGAAACTGCAATATCTGTGTTCTATCCTAGAGAAGATATGGTAGATCAAGGCTATACAACCTTTGGTTACATGAAGATGCAAATGGTAGTAGCACATGGTGGTCGTTGTGCTGAACGTATTGTGTTTGGGGATGACATCACTGATGGAGGAAGTGATGATCTGGAGAAGATTACTAAAGTATGTAGTATTTCCTCTTTCAAGTGAAGTTAAAATTGATTCTTCTCTTGGTGGTAGATGTTAAATACATCCAAGGTTCTCCAATGAGTTTATTGATTGCTTGAGGTTTTATATAGCTAATGTTTTGTTCCCAGAATATGGTATTTGTGTCCTGGTCAATAGCGAAAAGGTTTACCAGAATTTGCTGTGTCCCTTATGAAATTCTGCATTGTTTCAGAGTAGTGCACCCAAGCCTCCCATTGGATAAAATTTCCTAGTCACCTTACATCAAGTATTTTAAATAATTTCAAGTAGCAAGAAAAAGAAAAACAATGGGGAAATTTAATCCAAGCTAAAAACTCAAGGAATCAAGATGAAAAATTAAGAGCATTTTAATTCGCTTGAGGTGGGTGCACATGGATGGGACTGGCTTTCTGCATCTCTGCCCCAAGACCACCATGGGTTGGGCTGAGATCTAATTCAAGGCTCATTTTTTAGGTATTCTTATATACTTTTCATATTTTCTAATGTTTCATGGGCATAACATAATTTATATCAAAAAAGTTGTATTACCCACTTGTCAAGGAATTCTTAAGTTCTCTTATTTGAGTTCTCACTTAAGATTGTGAGGTAATTTCTGTAGCTGCAGATGATAAATTATAATTCTAATAATTGTGAAGTCCTCTGATTATTGCAGATTGCAAGAGAGATGGTTATCAGCCCTAGGAATTCGAGATTGGGGCTTACAACATTGACAAAAAGGGTTGGTTTAATGGATCGACCGGATAGTCCTGATGGCGAGATGATAAAGTATAAGGTACCATTAAGAATTTCTCATAACATCACCAAACTCACTCTAATCAGAACATTTTTTTTATTGATTTATGATCCTGATTGTCTAAATACACTTTTTACCTTGATAGTGGGATGATCCTGATGTGATTCCAGCAGACATGACAGTTGAAGTGTCTGAATTATTTACTCGCGAACTTACAAGGGTAATCATACTTTCCTTTAAGAATTTACATATTATGAGTCGGTGGATTATAAAGATAACATATTTGATTAGCTTTCCATCTGTATTTCTTTATGATTTAAGATTACTTGAGTATTTGATGCCTGTTTTGAAGAACTCTGATATTGGTCAAACTTTCCATTTAATCTTTGTTGTAAATATCTAGTTAATGTGACGCAGGGAGAAGATTTCATCATACTGCTTTTAAAACACACTAACAAAATAGAGGTCTGGGTACCACTACATGTATACTTTTCTTTGAGTACATGTCAGGGCATTTGTAAATGCCAATAATCCTTAGAGCAGAAAGGAATACGATGCAGTGTGGTGATGCCTACCAAGTAATTCATGAAAGACTAGCTAGGAGCTAACATAGATCACATTCATGTTGTATGAAAAAAAGCGTAGGGAGGGCTGTTGAGTCTTCTTACTAAAGTTTGTTTGGATTCCTCTGAACCAAAAAAAAAAACAAACGGTTTTGGTCACCACAGGCTAAAGGGTCCTTTTCTTGTTCTTCTTTCTTCAGGTCTCTCTATTAGTCCCCCTCTCAACAATCTTTTCCTATCAAGCTTGGTGGGGGCCTATTCCTCCTAAAGTTATGGATTTTTGCTGGGAAGTGTTCTATGGGAAAATGAACACCTTGGATAATTTACAAAAGAGAAGATTGTTCCTTTGTCTGTCCCCTAACTGGTGCATCCTTTGCAGGTCCCTTGGTGAAGGCTTCTACCATTTACTAATCTCCTGTTCTTTCACTGCAGAGTTGTGGGATTGGCTCTTTTTGTTGTTTGGTTGCAGGTGGAACAGGTTAGCTGAAGTAAGCTTGCTTTTTGATCCTTCTTAGCTGAAGTAAGCTGGAGGTGTGCAAGACCAGTATTGATTTGGACTGTTTGAGAGGAGAGGAATGCTAGTGTTTCAAGAGAAGGAGAGAAATGTACAAGAACTAAAGGAATGCATCTTGAACATGGCTGTTCAGTGGTTAAAATTCTCGGAGCTGTTCCATCATTTCTCCTTTAATGACTTTTGGAGAATTTGGGCTGCAGTGGCAAGTAGCTTTTCTCAAAAGGCTAGATTAAGTGTAAGCTGGGCACTTCCTCCTGTAGGTGCATTGAAGTTGAATTTCGATGGAAGTAGTCAAGGCAATCTAGGCCCTTCTAGATTGGGAGGGGTTATAAGAAATGAGGCTGGAAATGTGGTACTTCTTTACTTGGCCCCCCTAGGATTTGGGGGTTCCACTGGGGAAGTGTTGTTAGCTGCAATTTAAGGTGTACAGTTTTCTATTCAGCTGGGTGTGGTACAGTTAATTGAAGGAGATTCCAAGGTGGTTGTGAGTTGGCTACAGAATCCGGAGACTGCAATATGGTGTTATAAGAATGAAACCAAGAGGTTCAAGTGGTTAACAAGGGTCTGATTGTAAGAGTACAATGGGTTGGGAGATCAGCAAATGCTATGGCTGACTATCTTACCAGGGATCATTTGTTTTGGGCATAGTTGTAGTTTGTTGTTGCCTTGGAAAGTACACAGCTCGTGCCTCTCCAAGAATAGTTGTATAATTTCTCTCTAAATTAATATAATGAATTACTTTACTTATAAAAAAGTGTAGGGAGGGTGTTGAAAAATTGGAAAAAGGTATTGATTTGGAGATAGAAAAAGTAGTTTTCTCCATGGATAGAAACATGGCCCCTGGCTCGGATGGCTTTTCAATGGCTTTTTACCATGATTGTTAGGAAATTCTTAAATTAGACTTGTTGGAGGTGTCTAAGAAGCCTTGGCTCTTATTAGTTGCTCATTCAAGGCTTCCTCCCCCCTTTGTTCAAAAAATGGATATGGCACCAAGCAAAATGGATGGTGAAACAAGATCTATCATTCAATGTAGCAAATCCCATACAGTTGGCTTTGAAGAGAGCCATCACTTCCCATAAAGATAACCCCATATACCCTAATGTTGATCCCAACCCATTCAAAGATATTGCCTTTCATGCGTGCCTCTTCTTGGGCTTTCACCTTATTGGCCAAGGATAATAATGGGGCTTGTTGCTAACTTACCCCATCCTCCTTGGCTGTGATCACTTGTGTCAGCTCCACCTCTAAGCATTGTTGCAGAATTGTAGTGAAAGGGGATACAGATAGAACTTTACCATCTTCCACGTAATGCTATCCAACCACCACCAGTGCCTTTTTGTTCCCTAATGGTTGTGCCATTGACAGCATTGATGAAGCTCATTCCAAGTGTTGTAACAAAGGACCACACTTGCCATTAGAATTTGAGCATTGTGTGGCCCTGCCAAAATTCGCTCTTGTCAACAGACGTACACGGGTTCACTGGTGGTACCCCTAGTGTCTTCACCCCCTTAGTGACTCCATGACTAGAAAAATGACTTCCTTTGATTGTAAACAAGGCCATTTTGCTACTAGAACATTCAGGCATTGCACTGAAAGCTTCAGACATTACATGATTTGTCTCAGGAGTCTTTTGATGTTGGGAAGGGTCTTTAGGTCTTCTGTCCATCTGCCTCCATGTGTATTACACCTTTTTTTTTATCAGTAACAGAAAATTTTATTAAGACTATGAAACTTTAATTACAAGAGAGGGGGAGGTAAACTTCCTTAACTCCCCCACCAACACAAAACAAAGGATACAATATTAGAAATGAGCCCAAAAAAAGGAACCCCTATTCACCCCTTGTTTGGTTAACCCATCAGCGAGTGAGTTAGCAGTTCTCTTTACCCATCTGTATTTCACCTTGTGTTGATAGTTCAGTTGAACCAGGTTCAGAAATATAGAAAAGAGAAAGAGAGAAGAAGAGAGGGAGAAGAAGATAGTTCAGCTGTATTTCACCTTGTGTTGATAGTTCAGTTGTATTTCACCTTATTTTGTCAATGCAAAACACAATGTCTAATATGCCCTTACTTAAGTATGGGACATGTAACTTAACACAGTACCAAATAGACAAAACACATCTTAACTCATGATGAAAACACAGAAATACCCTTCCTTAGCCGACTCTAACAAACCTCAATGTCCCTAGTCAGCTTGTTACATATATGTCATATAGTCCTAGCTTGTTACATATATAATTTACTCTTCCCGAACTCAACCCTTTTGTAAACAAGTCTGCCCATTGATCACCTGTTCTCACATGCTCTGTACTTATGACACCATTAAGGACTTTTTCCCTTACAAAATGGCAATCCACCTTTATGTGTTTAGTCCTCTCAATAAAAATTGGATTGGATGAGATGTGAATTGCAGCTTGGTTGTCACATTATAGTTTCATGGGTTTGCTTATTGAGAACCCGACTTCCTGCAAAAGATTTTTCAACCACACTAGTTCATTTGTAATGTGTGCCATGGCCCTGTATTCTGCTTCAGCACTACTCACTACAACAGTTTGCTTCTTGCTCTTCCACGTCATCAAATTTCCTCTAAGAAAGGTGCAATAACCTGTAGTGGATCTCCTGTTAGATACTGAACCTGCCCAATCTGCATTTGTATAGCCAACTTTTTCAAGACTTCCTCCTAGCTTGGACAATAATCCATGGCCTGGAGCCCCCTTCAAATACGGTACAATTCTAAGGATTGCATCCTAGTGAGGAACTCGGGGGCTTTGCATGAATTGACTTACCACACTGACAGCAAAGAAGATATCTGGTCTAGTAATAGTTAAGTAATTCAGTTTTCCCACTAGCCTTCTATACCTTCCAAGATCATCAAATAATTCACCTATATTACCGCCCAACTTCACATTTGGTTCCATGGGAGTTTTAGCTGGCTTAGCACCTAATAGTCCTGTTTCTTCCAATAGGTCAAGAACATATTTCCTCTTACACAAGTTTATACATTGCTTCGATCTAGCAACTTTTATTACCCAAGAAATACTTCAACTTCCCAAGATCCTTTGTCTGAAAGTGATCTTGTAGAAAGACCTTCAGTCTATCAATCCCAAGTCTATCATTGCTAGTTAGGACTTTGTCATCCATGTAAACCACTAGCAAGATCTTCCCGAACTCTTTCACTACTTCACGAAATTTGCCAAACCAAGCACAAGGAGGCTATTTGAGCCCATAAATTGCCTTCTTGAGCTTACACACCTTACGATCCTCCCCCTGAGCAACAAACCCTGGTGGTTACTCCATGTACACCTTCTCTAGAAGATCTCCAAGGAGGAAGGCATTTTTAATGTGAAGTTGAAACATGGGCCAATCATAAATAACTACTAATGAAATCAAAACACGGACTGAGCCAATCTTAGCAACAGGGGAAAAGGTTTTTACATAATCTATACCATATAATTGAGAATATCCTTTGGCAACCAATCGGGCTTTCAGCCGTTCCACTCTCCCATCTGATAAATAGTTAATGTTAGAATGCTAGAGTGTGTTCGGCTGATAGGGTCTCCTATTAGCCCATTCTTATGTTAATCTTATCTTGTAACTGGGCCTTTGCTAATGGGCCTAATCCT